TCTCCATCGCCACACTCTGCTGCCATGTGCCACTTTCAGGTCTCTTCACACTGCTGGTGTGTTAAATTTTTTGACATAGGGTGCAGGCAGATTACGGGCCTCACATAGCTGCTGCCAGGCCCCTAATCTGCCATGGGCCCCATATACCGCCCCCTGCTGCTGCTGCTGCCAAGTCAGAGTCTGTCATGGGTCCCTGTACGGCCTCCCATTGCTGCTGTCTCCATCGCCACACTCTGCTGCCATGTGCCACTTTCAGGTCTCTTCACACTGCTGGTGTGTTAAATTTTTTGACATAGGGTGCAGGCAGATTACGGGCCTCACATAGCTGCTGCCAGGCCCCTAATCTGCCATGGGCCCCCTATATATACCGCCTCCTCATGCTGCTGCCAAGTCAAGTCCAGAGTCTGTCATGGGTCCCTGTACGGCCTCCCATTGCTGCTGTCTCCATCGCCACACTCTGCTGCCATGTGCCACTTTCAGGTCTCTTCACACTGCTGGTGTGTTAAATTTTTTGACATAGGGTGCAGGCAGATTACGGGCCTCACATAGCTGCTGCCAGGCCCCTAATCTGCCATGGGCCCCTATATACCGCCTCCTCATGCTGCTGCCAAGTCCAGAGTCTCTCATGGGTCCCTGTACGGCCCCATTGCTGCTGTCTCCATCGCCACACTCTGCTGCCATGTGCCACTTTCAGGTCTCTTCACACTGCTGGTGTGTGTTAAATTTTTTGACATAGGGTGCAGGCAGATTACGGGCCTCACATAGCTGCTGCCAGGCCCCTAATCTGCCATGGGCCCCTATATACCGCCTCCTCATGCTGCTGCCAAGTCCAGAGTCTCTCATGGGTCCCTGTACGGCCTCCCATTGCTGCTGTCTCCATCGCCACACTCTGCTGCCATGTGCCACTTTCAGGTCTCTTCACACTGCTGGTGTGTTTAAATTTTTTGACATAGGGTGCAGGCAGATTACGGGCCTCACATAGCTGCTGCCAGGCCCCTAATCTGCCATGGGCCCCTATATACCGCCTCCTCATGCTGCTGCCAAGTCCAGAGTCTCTCATGGGTCCCTGTACGGCCTCCCATTGCTGCTGTCTCCATCGCCACACTCTGCTGCCATGTGCCACTTTCAGGTCTCTTCACACTGCTGGTGTGTTAAATTTTTTGACATAGGGTGCAGGCAGATTACGGGCCTCACATAGCTGCTGCCAGGCCCCTAATCTGCCATGGGCCCCTATATACCGCCTCCTCATGCTGCTGCCAAGTCTAGAGTCTGTCATGGGTCCCTGTACGGCCTCCCATTGCTGCTGTCTCCATCGCCACACTCTGCTGCCATGTGCCACTTTCAGGTCTCTTCACACTGCTGGTGTGTTTAATTTTTTTTTGACATAGGGTGCAGGCAGATTACGGGCCTCACATAGCTGCTGCCAGGCCCCTAATCTGCCATGGGCCCCTATATACCGCCTCCTCATGCTGCTGCCAAGTCCAGAGTCTCTCTCTCATGGGTCCCTGTACGGCCTCCCATTGCTGCTGTCTCCATCGCCACACTCTGCTGCCATGTGCCACTTTCAGGTCTCTTCACACTGCTGGTGTGTTAAATTTTTTGACATAGGGTGCAGGCAGATTACGGGCCTCACATAGCTGCTGCCAGGCCCCTAATCTGCCATGGGCCCCTATATACCGCCTCCTCATGCTGCTGCCAAGTCCAGAGTCTCTCATGGGTCCCTGTACGGCCTCCCATTGCTGCTGTCTCCATCGCCACACTCTGCTGCCATGTGCCACTTTCAGGTCTCTTCACACTGCTGGTGTGTTAAATTTTTTGACATAGGGTGCAGGCAGATTACGGGCCTCACATAGCTGCTGCCAGGCCCCTAATCTGCCATGGGCCCCCCTCCTATACCGCCTCCTCATGCTGCTGCCTGCTGCCATGTCTGCCAGAGTCTCTCTCTCATGGGTCCCTGTACGGCCTCCCATTGCTGCTGTCTCCATCGCCACATTGCTCTCTGCCACACTCTGCTGCCATGTGCCACTTTCAGGTCTCTTCACACTGCTGTGTGTGTTAAATTTTTTGACATAGGGTGCAGGCAGATTACGGGCCTCACATAGCTGCTGCCAGCCCTAATCTGCCCATGGGCCCCTATATACCGCCTCCTCATGCTGCTGCTGCCAAGTCTAGAGTCTCTCATGGGTCCCTGTACGGCCTCCCATTGCTGCTGTCTCCATCGCCACACTCTGCTGCCATGTGCCACTTTCAGGTCTCTTCACACTGCTGGTGTGTTAAATTTTTTGACATAGGGTGCAGGCAGATTACGGGCCTCACATAGCTGCTGCCAGGCCCCTAATCTGCCATGGGCCCCTATATACCGCCTCCTCATGCTGCTGCCAAGTCCAGAGTCTCTCATGGGTCCCTGTACGGCCTCCCATTGCTGCTGTCTCCATCGCCACACTCTGCTGCCATGTGCCACTTTCAGGTCTCTTCACACTGCTGGTGTGTTAAATTTTTTGACATAGGGTGCAGGCAGATTACGGGCCTCACATAGCTAGCTGCTGCCAGGCCCCTAATCTGCCATGGGCCCCTATATACCGCCTCCTCATGCTGCTGCCAAGTCTAGAGTCTGTCATGGGTCCCTGTACGGCCTCCCATTGCTGCTGTCTCCATCGCCACACTCTGCTGCCATGTGCCACTTTCAGGTCTCTTCACACTGCTGGTGTGTTAAATTTTTTGACATAGGGTGCAGGCAGATTACGGGCCTCACATAGCTGCTGCCAGGCCCCTAATCTGCCATGGGCCCCTATATACCGCCTCCTCATGCTGCTGCCAAGTCCAGAGTCTCTCATGGGTCCCTGTACGGCCTCCCATTGCTGCTGTCTCCATCGCCACACTCTGCTGCCATGTGCCACTTTCAGGTCTCTTCACACTGCTGGTGTGTTAAATTTTTTGACATAGGGTGCTGGCAGATTACGGGCCTCCCATTGCTGCTGCCAGACATGTAATCTGCCATGGGCCCCCGTACCGACTCCTCATGCTGTGACGTTGCAACAAGGTGTAATTCAACCCTACATATGTTAGACCGCCTTTACGAACAGCTAAAGGCCATCACAGATTTCCTGATGATGTTAAAAGCGGATAAAGGTACTCCCTGTGTAACTTAGATGTCAGCCATTGTCAGCTCATGTGTGACACCTGCGCTTGCTCAGGCCCTTTGAGGAGGCCACGCTATTCGTGAGTCGGCAGGACTATGGGATGAATGAGGTCAAATCGGCCATGGGCCCCCGTACCGCCTGTTCACGCTGATGCTGGTCCCACAGTGTGACCTGGGTCCCTGTACGGCCTCCCATTGCTTCCACTCTGCCATGTGCCACTTTGAAATCTCCTCACACTCCTGCGGTTGTCCATTTTGTCATAGGTTGCTGGCAGATTACAGGCCTTCCATAGGTGCCACCAAGCCCCATATCGGCCATGGGCCCCCGTACCGCCTGGTCACGCTGCTGCTGGGCCCACAGTGTGACCTGGGTCCCTGTACCGCCTCCCATTGCTCCCACTCTGCCATGTGCCACTTTCAGGTCTCCTCACGCTCCTGCTGGTTTCCATTTTGTTGCTGTATGGCCTCCCATTGCTGCTGCCTCCACCGCCACACTGTGGCTCCAAACACTGGTTTTGGCCCCGTGACTGGCCAAAGGAGTGAAGTGTGCAGTGATTCTAAGATCGACGGCACTCATCTGCATGTCATACTGACAGACAGTATTATTTCTCTTCCCCACTCCAGCGGCTGGATTGAACAAGCCATGATAACCTCACACGTGGGAGTCACTTTTTACGGCACTCAGCTCTGAAGGAACGGCATCGGCATCCCGTTCCTTCAGAATGCATGCGCCGGTGTCATTTACAAGTAAATATCTTCTAAACGGTGCATGTTAAGGAGATATTTACAGTACCTACAGGTAAGCCTTATTATAGGCTTACCTATAGGTACAAGTGAAAGAAGCATCTGCATTAAAGTAAAACACCTTCCAACACCTGTCTCCCCCTTCCTTATTCCTCAAATGCCTTACCTGACTGTGCCGGCTGCAGGGACTGCTCTCCCTTTCCTTGCTTCCATAGACTTCACTGAGAACAGTGGGAGCCATTGGTGCCTCCTGCTGTCAGTCAAATCCTGTGAGGAGAGAGCAGGAGGTGTGACCCAGCTGTGCTGTGTGTGTCTACTGTGCACACACAGCCCAGCTTGGGAGCACACCCGCATGAGTGCCCCACTGAGACCGCTTGCTGAGGGGGCACCCACAGGAAAGGAGGAGCGGACAGCTCAAGGGACTCCAGAAAAGGAGGTAAAGGGCCACTCTGTTTATACAATTGCACAGAACAGATGAGTATAACTTCTTATTTAATATAATTAAAAATGCCTTTACAATCACTTTAACCTTTTGTTATCTTAATTGCAACAGCAAAAGTAGCAAACACCATAACTGGTGTCCCTATTGAAGATTTTCTCTTGCCTGCTGTTCTGTGGACAACTAGAAACTTTGGGATATCCCAACACTCTATCTCAGTGACAGTGGTCTTCAGTACAAACGGAGAGGGAGAATGTCACCAGTGGGAACACAGACAGCAATAACAACCTGCATAACCCAAACTGGGAAATAGTTCTGTTTTTACATACACTTTAATAAATTATCCATTGCCTTTGGAATAAACCCTATAATAAGTCAGTGCATTCCTCTCTTAGACACAAGCCTTCTGCACCTATTAATAAGTTTGATAATAGTTATAAATAGCTCCTGCAATACAAATCAAAGTAACCTTTCACAGTTTGTGTTACAAAAATTCCTGAATTATTTCTGAAGTGTGTTTGTGTATGTTGATTTGTCTAAATGATAGCACTGGTTTTCAAAGGTGTATACACAAAAAAAACTCTGCAGTCTTTTGAACAAGTAGTTTGCAGAAATGTTGCCTTGAGGCTTTTTGTTGAATTGCAGTTTGATATTTTTTGACCTCTTGTCTCCTCCAGGACACTTTCTGACATTTCTGGAACCTGTAAACAATATCACAATTGTCCAGGGTCAAGCAGCCACCCTTCATTGCAAGGTGGCGGAAATCCGCTCCCAAATGTGAAGTGGCTGAAGAATGATGCTCCGGTGGTGCAGGAACCCAAGAGAATTACCATAAGGAAAACAGAATATGGTTCACGGCTAAGAATACAAGACTTGGACACCACAGACACTGGATACTATCAGTGTGTTGCCACCAATGGAATAAAGACCATTTCTGCCACTGGGGTTCTTTTTGTCAGACTTGGTAAGTATGTAATTTAAATAAATTTAAAAGCTGAAGTTTAGTTTTTAATAAACCCCCATTCCCTACTTGAGCCCCCCTGCACACCCCGCCCCACCCTCCAAACACACATAAATACATGCATATCTTTTATCCAAGAGTTCAATGACATCACAGATCCTTCTTTTTCTGCTGCAGTAGAAGTGACGACATTGTCCTTACTGTTGAACAGTGCCCATGTAATGACTTGTGAGTACTGTGCAGTAACAAACTGAGCCCAGATTAAGTGATACCACCCACAGGGGACAGGCCAAGGACAGCCTGGGTTCAGAGGAGTAGTAGTGGGTTGGATGAGGCTGGCAGTAAATCAAACCAGAACGCTAATGCCAGAAAAGTACTGTGGATAGAGCTCCAGAATGAAGCTTGCAGTAAAGAGTAAATGCTGTTTTATCTTTAACTGTCTTTTTTATTAGTTCTAAAGTTCTGCTTCTGCTTTAAGAAAACCTGTCAAAAGTCAGGGTAATTCTACCTACATACTGTATATGATGAAATATTACAAAGGTCACCCTCAGGTGAATGTGTATCAAAACCATCAGTAGTTACAGAGGTATACAGTACCTGAAATTATGTTATATATGTTTACTTTTCCTTTAAAAGTTAAGCTGAAGCCTGGGCCTATCATCTTTTACCATCCTGTTGTCCTAACTCTTGGCTAGTGACACTGCCAATTACATTTTTAAAGAAACACTGTCATATTGTTTTGAATGAGCAGTGTGTTTCTGTAGTGCCCAATCTCTGTCACAGCTAGGCCCTTACACATGGAGTAGATTCCATTCCAATCAGCAGGGATCTGTGAACTGATCCCTGCTGATTGGAGGGAAGCAGGCCGATGACACATCTGTGTCCGCTCAGTTTCTGCAGAATGGACATGGACAAAGTCCACTCTGTCTATAAACTTCCAGGGAGAGAACGTACTCCGTTGTCTGTTTACACCCAACTACCCCTCCATCTGATCCACCTAAAGAGAAGAGGACGGATCCCCTTCCCTTTTTTTTTGTGGATTGGGACTGGACCCAGAGGTAGGCAGGTGTAAACAAACTTGTATCCATAGGAATGCATGGACTTCCAATCAGGTCCGCCTGAAAATCTGGACCTGATTGGATCGCACATGTGAAAGAGGTCTTATACTAACATTGCCTCAACCCCTCGGGCTTAGCACTTGGCCACTTAACCCGTACACTGTCAATGGGAGTAGTTCCTATACCCAGAAGCACTAGGTTTTCAATCCAGCAGCAGTGGTGAGATAGTCTGGATCGCTAAAAATGTGAATATAAAAACATATGTTCACTTTTTCCTGAATGGGAAAAGTGTCACTGTCTCTTAAAAACACATCTCTGGTCAAATTTATACAGATGATAAATTCAAACTGATCCAGTTTGATGGTTTATCAGTAACTGATCCTTTTTTACTTCATAAAGCATGTACTGATTAAAATAGGAATAATCTACATTCTCACTCTCTGTTTTTAAACAGGACCAACACACAGTCCGAATCCTAACATTCAGTAAGTATGAAATATTTTATGGTGCTCAAGTTTGCTTTGTTTTTCTTTTTTCAAAAAGTAAATGCTATAGAAATGTGCTTGATTTTTTTTTGCTTTGGATATTTTGTTTATACTTATAGTTACATTTTTGGGGGGACAAATAAGGCATGGTAAAGAAAATTTTCCTGGAGTCGCTTAAATAATTCTAAAATAGCAACAACTAGTGAAGCCTGTGTGAAGATATAAACTTGTGGATTAATTGCTATGTAATACTTAAGAATGTCACTTTGGTCTTAATGATACATGCACCCAAAACTTAGACGTGTGTGTGTGTGTATTTGGGGTTTTTTTTATTCACCCACCTGCGAAGGTTAGGAAATAGAGAGAGAAAGGTAATGTATTTAGAACAGACCAACACCTCCTTCCTGGTTCTTACAGGGGCAACACCAGAGGGAATACTGCCATAGGACCTCAGATGGGGGTTCCTGTAGGCTCCTTTTCAGTGGCTCCCTTTCAGGCTGTCCCCATCTACCCCCTGACAGGTGTAACTCGTGGGGAAGGCAGTCTGTCAGGTTAGGAGTGCGAGGGTACAGGGATTGTGGACTCAACTGCTGGCTCTTTGTTGTAATTCCTGCAAGAGAGCCTTAACAGGCTCCAAGCAGGGGCTGTAGCATGTGTTAGTCCTTTCTGTCCTTCATGAGGCTCAGCATGGAGACTGTAGGCTTCATCACAGAGTTGGAGTGTAGCTTTGGGGTTCCCTGTGATCTTCTGGTTCCAGAACCACTGTAGAATGCACTTCTGGTTCTGCACTTCATATATATTGCCATATTGGTGGCTAACAGGTTTGTGGGGTTTTATACGTAAAAAATTACAGAATTGAAACAATCAACTGTCATGGGGCATGTTTATAAAGCAGTGAATGTGATGAAACACTTCCTAGTCAGTGTTTTTTTATTATACTGTACAACAGTGAATGATTTGCCACCAATAGATGTCTTGGACAAATTGTCTACATACGTTTATAATTTTTGTTTTGTTTCTACATGTAGTCTCTGAAATAGTGTCACTAGAGACCAACATTATTTAAGTTCAGAGGAATTGGAAATAGTGTACATGCAGATATTGGGTTTATTTACTAAAGGAGTTAGGAATCTTCACATAATAAATTGTGCCATTATTCATTTTCAGTTATCCAGTCATATGCAGATGAAATAAATGAACAAGAATTTGCTTTTCACATGATTGAAATGAATATTTATTTATTACAGGTACTTATATAGCTCCTTCAATTTACACAGCACTTTACATATATATTGTACATTCACATCAGGTTCCAGTCCCTAACCCTCAAGGGATGTACACTCTAAGATCCCTAACTTACATTCATATACAAGGGCCAATTTAGACAGGATCCAATTAATCTACCAGCATGTCTTTGGAGTGTGGGAGGAAACCAGGAGTACCCAGAGGAAACCCACGCAGGCACAGGGAGAACATGCAAACTCCAGGCAGGAGGTGCCATGGCTGGGATTTGAACCAACAACCCTAGTACTGCCAGGCAGAAGTGCTAACCATTTAGCCACTGTGAATATTCACACAATTTAATGTGAAAATTTCCAGTTCCTTTAGTTCTGCATGTTCTGCTGTTTAGAGAGGGCTGTTGTAGTGCATTTGGGCTAGAAGTGGTAACAGAACTCTGACTTTGTTGGTGAATTGGATGACATATGCAAATTAGATGCAAATTAAATTCCCTTTGGGGAATGTGCAGATATCAGTTGGTGCCTTCTTTGGACAGCAAATTGCTCAGCTTTAAAACTTTAAATTTAAAGACAGATGTACTCGGGAAGTGGGTTTTGCACCAGTCCTATGTAAAGTTCTGTTTGCATTATTGGAGATGAGAGTGTATAGGACAAATTCTGGTTGTCTCTGAGCAGTAATGTTTTCCCCTTTCTTTGGAATTTGTTATAAAGTCCAGATACAGGAATACCTTTAATACAGAGACTGCTTTAATAGTGTATGGGAACTGAGAGTGTTGTGTGTGTGGTCTAGAAGGATGTAAGGTGGTCGGCCCTGGATTTCTACACAGCTAATGCCTGTCTGTTACTATCAGGTTTCCGAATAAAATAGAGGATTGGAGCACTCTTCTAGATTAGTGTTAACCACACTTCTGTGAATAGTCCTTGACCATACTGAAAAGTATTAGTAATTTCTTTAACATTCTTTCTTTGCTATTTGGCAGAGAGGTGATAAAAATGTGTCCAATTAGATTGTGTTGGTGTATCTACAGAACTCCTTTCCAAGGTGTAAATCCATCTTCTGCTAACGGGCCTGTATATTAACATTTCTCCTGAACACATGTAACCTGACTCTCTCTGCAAAGTACCTTACACATTATTATATGCAGTAAAAAGGGGACTGCATTTCACAAGACTGTCATGGGAAATGCCCCGCTTCTGTAGTTTGCTGCTTAAACTCTAGGCTTTTATTGGAAACCTGTAATGAGAATGAATAATAAAGAAGTGCAGTAGCTTTGGGTAGATATTTTTATTTGCTGGAATTGTGCTTAGACTAGAATAATAGATTGTGTGAATAACCTGACCCCACTGCTTCAAAAATGATCAGCTAGATGCACAACAAGAACATCACTTATTTTAACACCAGAGTTTTGAAAAATGACCTTTCTCCCAAAATGCATTAACATATTTTGACAAAGCCCGATACATATACATTAAATGATATTTAATAATATAAATAACATAATATGTTTATTTATCTGGTCTGTGGAACTTGAAAATGGATAGTTATTGACTGTGCATAGGCAGAGGTAAGTGACCCTACGCTATGTTCACCTGTCTCCACTAAAAATACTAATCAAATCCCCTTTAAAAAGCTATAGAACAGGATAGGTTTGTCGGTACTGTGCATTGGCAGCATGGAATTTCTGTGTAGAAGACTGATATACCTACCTACTGCACTTGATGTATTCATTAAATCAGGCCTGTATTTCTGCAGGCTTTATTGGCTGTGATATGAACATTTGCTACCTTTTCATGCTGTTAAAGTGGTTCTAAAGTCTAACTGTTTTTTACCCCAATGAATTCTCTGCATTAAGGTAAAAAAACACCCCACTACTAGTTTCTCCCCCCACCATCCCTGAACACTTACCTGCCTCCACTCAGTGACCCAACAATGTCCCAGCTAGAGCACCACTCTCCCCTCTTGCAGGTCTCACAGAAGACACAGGCAGCAGTGGGAGCCATTGCTGTCAGTCAAACGTCTGTGAGGAGTGAGAGGGGGGAAGGGCTTACCACCACTTTCTGTGTCTATAGACGCACACAGCCTGGCTCGGGAGTGCTCCCGCACGGGTTCCCCCTTAGCACCACACTTGCTGAGTGGGCAACCGGATAGGAGGAAGACCGGACAGCTCTGGCTGGGAACTGCCAAAGGGCAGTGAAGGGACCGTTCTGTGCAATATCGTTGCACAGAGCAGGTAGGTATAACCTGTTTATTTTAACAAAAAAAATAAAAAAGCCTTTAATATCACTTTAGGCATTCATTCAGTCCCTTTCTGAAAAACAGCCATTTGGAATAATGTGTTTTTACCTATTACTTTCCAATCCAGGATCTTTTCAATATTTAAACTATACCATTGGAACCTTTTGATATAAAGAATAACTGTCAAGATTCTACTACAATCAGCCATGTTTAGGCAAACTCCCAGACCAGTCAAGCCCTTTCATTTGAAAATCCTAAAATCAAGGCCTGTGCAAACAGGGACATTTACTTACTAAAATTTCATGTAAACAGGTGCAGATCAAATAAAACTCAATTTGAATAAAAATGACATCTTAGTCCCATCAACACTATGGTCTTTGGTAATAGCATGTATGACCTCAATTTGTTTAGTGTGTATGTGTCACCTGTGAAGCCCTGCCACCTGTGAAACCTGTGGAAGACACAAATGTTGTTGCTGTGATTGTTGAGCCAGTAGATTTTGATAAATGCTTTCTTATTTTAAATACAAATTGTATTAAGTAATTAGAAAGCAAAATACTCTGTTGAGATATTTTCTTTCCATTAAACTTGACCTCATCTGTAATTATTTGGATACAGAAGAATTTAATGGGCTATATTTTTTTCTTTGTTGAAGCATTCTGTAATGACTGTTAGTTTTAGGAAGGGGTTTAGTAGTCTTTATTTAGTGTTTTGGCAGATTCAGAGGAAACATATTTAAAACAAATTACATTTTCCCTACAGAATTGCAAGCCTCAGAAAGCCTAATTGCATTTTGAAGGAAAGAAATGTGCAGTTTTTCACCTAATTTGTTTTCTGGCCATGGAGTCATGTGTTGTCCTCCAATGCCTTATTTGTACTCAAACACATTATATTGTTAATGTTCAGTTTTATATTTCGGTGATGATGACATTAATGTTTCTGCTGACTAGTGAAGATTTATGGTAAGTTACGGAAGATCATTCCTAAACTGAGCAGAAATTGTTGAAACCAGGTTTGCCTTCTTTGTGACAGCTTACTCACATGTTTGTAAGGATAGAGAATGCCAATAGCTATGTAATGGATAGAATGCAGTTGTACATCATAGGCAGAAAATAATCATATCCTTAGGCTGTACATTTCATGTGCCAAAATGTATGTCATAATAAACACACATGGAAAAATTATAATATGAGCTTTTAAATATTTGAAGGGTGAGGGTGAGTAGAGGCAGATGTGTACATATGACACATATACATTCTGTTCTCTACATTATTGTACAGGTCTCTACCAAGTGATCGCTTTCAAACTATGGTGAGGCTAGTCATAAGTGTTCTCACACGCTATAGCTGGTAAATTTAAAAGTCGGTTCACACCAGAATCGCACAGGAACGCAATGCACTTTCCTTTGTGATTTCTGTGTGTTCCCCTGCAGTGTGAGTTTCAGCCCATTCATTTGAATATGTTGAAATCACACCAGATAGCACAAAAATTAGTGCATGACATACATTTGAAAAATGCGCCGCACC